AAAATTGAAACACTACCGGACAATCGTGACTGTGCGATGAACTTTGGATGGTGATGAGCATAGGCGAAATCACTGTTCATTTTCGCTTATAGGTGTTGGGAAGAATTTCTCTCTCTCTCAGTCTCTCTCTCTCTCTTAGAACTCATAAAGATGACTTAAATCTGTTTATTTGTTTTTCTTTTCTTTTCTGCTGTTTCCTCATACAGGCCCTGTTGGAATCAGAAAAGCAAAGGGCAGATAATGCCGAAAAGAAGTACGCTGAAACACTTGAAACAAGCAACAACAGGCAGAAAAGATTAGAAGAGTCAGAAGGAAAAGTAGATCACCTTCAGGAGTCTCTGCATAGGTGATTAATGTGCTTTGACAAATGGGCTGAGCTAACTCAACATTTAGTTTTATTTTGATGGGATGAATCTTTCAGTATTTTTATAACTTTTATATCTGCTTAAGTACTTTGGGAAAGTATAGAATAGACACGGTTAACAGTTTCAAAAAAAGAGAAGAAAGTATGGAATAAGACCGTTTAAGTTTGGCTCAAAAGGGTCAATCAGTCCTAGCCATCAATGTGAAATCTGGTGGTTGGGGTTATGGTGATACCAGTAGCTGCACAAAAGATGCACAGCCATTTGCGGGTTATAGAGTTCATTCTGACTCTTGGGGTCAGGACCATCCAGATGTAGGAACCATGTTTGACAATTACAGAGTTAAGATGCAGTTATCGTGGATTCTGATTTTTATAATTGAGATTTGGGTTGATCATGTTTCTAAAGATTCTCCCTTTTGAAACTTGACGATTCAATCATACGATTAGATATTTTCTGTTAGGTGCATTATGTTGGCTGAAAGATGCATTTTTCCTTATGCATATAGACTTCCACTTATACTTGTTTTCCCTGTTCATTTGCTTTATAATGAGTAGGCTTGAGGAGAAGCTGTCAAATTTGGAATCAGAGAATCAGGTCCTTCGTCAGCAGGCCTTATCCATTGCACCAAATAATAAATTTTTGACCGGGCGTTCTAAATCAACCATTCAGGTAGTTCACATTCATTTTTCTGCCATGTGTTTTGGGGGATGTGGGGAGGGATTTTTTTTTAATCTAGAACTTTCTCAATTCATCTCAATTCATGCTAAGATCATTTGCAACACTACAATGCATCCCAAGCTCGAATCCTAATGCTGAATGACCCAAAAACCATTCCCCAAAAGAATGAACCTGAGATGAAAATATCCAGCACCTGATGTCCATCAAAATGGAGGGGGGTCTGTTATACTATCTTATAGAGGCTTTTGATTTGAAGTTCATTCTGAACTCTAAATCTTTTTCTTTTTTTTAATTGATCTTTGAGTGTGATAAAGATCATTTGAGAGTTCTGGGAACCTACAAACACCCCTAAGATGGAGTGTGATCCATTAATCCCACCTAATCATTCTCCTACACACACACACTCTGCTATTTACTAGTGCTATTTACTTTATTGCTACACAAGCATTCTAACCAGAAAATTCTTCATGTTCAATGGCAGAGGAGTCCAGAGAATGGTCATGTCTTAACTATAGATCCAAAGGCCGCGATGGCAGTAAGTTGAAGATGATTCCCTCTGTGCATTGCTCATATAGTTTCATATGGTCTCCCTATGTATGATGGAGATCCTTAGAACATGTTCACTACTAACACCACTTCTTCCCCAGGATTCCAATAGTGCTCTCTCCACCTCACGGGACCTACTGGAGATAGAAGATAAGCCACAGAAGTCTCTTAATGAAAAGCAGCAGGCAATTCCTTCAAAGTCACCCTAAAAACTGTGTCCTCTAATTAGCCTATTTTTATCCAACCAGGAGTCTTTTATAGTCTTTACTGTGTGGCTTAGTTGGCTTTGATGAGTGATGCATATCTTGCTTTCTTCGATTTGCAGGAGAATCAGGACTTGTTGATAAAGTGTATATCACAAGACCTGGGATTCACTGGAACCCGACCAATTGCTGCATGTGTTATCTACAAATGCCTTCTTCAGTGGCGATCATTTGAGGTTGAGAGGACAAGTGTATTTGACCGTATTATTCAGACTATAGGCCATGCTATTGAGGTAACTTGTTTTCTCACCATTAATTTGTCCACCATCTTTACCTTTTCATTCGTTGGACTTCACACATTTGCCTCCATTGCTAAGTTCATATTTGCATCCTTTCATGGGAGAGCATGCCCCTTCCTCCCCCCTTCCTTTTTGTCTTTGTGTATGTGTGTGTGTATGAGAGAGAGAGAGAGAGAGAGCTGATTTCTCTATCATTAAACCATCTTTAAGTAAAAATTTGATATCCTTGCAGAAGACCCAAGAGAATAATGATGTCTTAGCGTATTGGCTCTCTAATGCTTCAACTCTTTTGTTGCTCCTGCAACGCACGCTAAAAGCTAGTGGAGCAGCGGGTATGGCTCCACAGCGCCGACGGTCTTCATCAGCTACTCTTTTTGGAAGGATGACCCAAGTAAGGGACCGATCCCCTCCTTGATTCTATGCTTTGAATGACTAACTTCTAAACGTTGACAAGAAATGACCTTACCTGTATATTATTAAATATTTGTAGCTAAATTATGATTTTCTAGTAGCATGATAATATCATCATGTAAAGTTAGGTTGACATTTAGCATGCAAATGAAGTTCAAATACCTTTGAGGTATGAATAAAGAAACTAATATATCTTTTACGCTACCAATTTTAGAGCTTTAGAGCTTCACCTCAAGGGTCAGGCTTTTCGCTTGTAAATGGTGAGGTGATTGGTGGAGTGGATACCTTACGCCAAGTCGAAGCCAAATACCCAGCTTTGTTGTTTAAGCAGCAACTTACAGCTTATGTAGAGAAAATATATGGAATGATCCGTGACAATTTGAAGAAAGAGATCTCTCCCTTGCTGGGATTATGTATCCAGGTATTTCCTTCCATTTCGCTTCTTTCATGGCTTTGCTGCTCATATTTCTCCTTTTGAAATGTTTGACTCTAGAAAATAACCTTATTCCACATTGGAAACTACTAGGCTCCAAGAACATCACGAGCAAGCCTGGTGAAGGGATCTTCTCGTTCTCATGCAAATGCTGCTGCTCAGCAAGCTCTAATTGCTCATTGGCAAGGCATTGTCAAAAGCCTTGGCAATTTCTTGAACACATTAAAAGAAAATCATGTACGTGGAAAGTAATTGACTTTGTCCATAGACAGGCATTTCTCCTTTTTTTACTTTTCATTGATTTCCAATAGCATGCATCTCTCTCTCTCTCTCCTCCTCCACCCCCCCACCCCAAAAACACATCTTTCTTTTCCTGACAACTTTCTCTATCGACCCTAGGTTCCTCCATTTTTGGTGAGAAAGGTGTTCACACAAATCTTCTCTTTCATCAACGTGCAGCTATTTAACAGGTACTAGGTTTCTTCGTGATCTTTCTTTTGAACGCAGTGTAATGGGAAATGGATTTGTATTGTGTGTATTGATGTGTTTCTTTATGATACCAGCCTTCTCTTGCGTCGAGAGTGTTGTTCATTTAGCAATGGTGAATATGTCAAGGCTGGCTTAGCTGAACTTGAACACTGGTGTTATAAAGCAACAGATGAGGTGTATGCTTTTATTAATCTGCAATCTCTTTTTCTCCGGTGGTTTTTGTATAATCCTGTTGCCTGAACCCACAAAGAATCACAGTATGCAGGTTCAGCATGGGATGAGCTCAAGCATATCAGACAAGCAATTGGGTTTCTGGTATTTTTTTTTCAAACATTGATATTTGTTTCAATTTATAACGTGTTTAGGGACCAATAAATGACTCAATCAAAGAAAATCATTGCAGACACTTATTTCTATGATCTTTGTATCATACCCATCACTCTTGTGAGATCATTTGCAGAACAAAGAATATTATTCTCTCTTTGAACACAAAAATTGTAAATCAGAATGGATATTTGGTACCGAGACTCATCGGAGTGTGAACCTCGCTATTTCGCGAACAGAAATTTCTTCTGGCTCTGCATAGGGCACTGGCCTTCCTCATTTGATCTTTTAAAAATTTCTCATGTTTTATGTTTTTTTTGTCTAGGTCATACATCAAAAGCCAAAGAAATCTCTGGATGAAATCAGTCATGATCTTTGCCCTGTGAGTGTCCTGCTTATATTGAGTTGGAAACCAATGTTTTGGTAATATATATGTAATTCCTTGGCAGGGACAGGATTCATATGGGTACATTCTTTCTCTATTGTTCAGGTGCTTAGTATTCAGCAATTGTATCGGATCAGTACAATGTACTGGGATGATAAGTATGGCACACACAGTGTTTCCTCAGATGTAAGTAATATATTGGATGTCATTACTCAGACCATTTGGATCATTAGGATGATTGTCGTTAGCTCTATGATCCTTTTTTGGGTATACGAGTTTTTATTTCTTTCTCTTTCTTTTTTCTTTAAGTTCATAAGAACTTTGCGGATGGGAATATATGGTGCCAGGTTATTTCTAACATGAGGGTCTTGATGACTGAAGACTCCAACAATGCTGTCAGCAATTCTTTCTTGCTTGACGATGACTCTAGGTGAGATACAAGGGTGATCTTTATATGATTTGCCATAGACATAGCGATCTGATCTTGATCGGATGTGTAGCAATGAGCCAACAACATTATCGTACATTAGTTGTGGCTGACCAAAACAATTGACACTAGCCTGTGATATTATTGTCAACATGTTGTCGTTGTCCGATCAAGATTGTGCAGTTGGCAGCCTCCAAATATGCATAAATTATGTGTATGAGGGCCCATAGAAAATTTCTCCTAGATATTATATCTAACCAATGAAAATAAAATCATTCTCGGACTATTGTTCTGTTTTCGAATCCTGATGTGTAACATACCTCTTCAATTTTCAGCATACCATTCTCAGTGGATGATATATCAAAGTCCATGGAGCAGATTGACATATCTGATGTCGATCCTCCACCGTTGATCCGCGAGAACTCGAGCTTTGCTTTCTTATTACCTCGTGCCGATTGAGCTCATCATTTTAATTCCTAACATGTATATCCTCTCCCTCACACACTCTCTCTCTCTCCCCCCACCTCAATGTATGCAATTATTATTTTTGGCCTTCCATTGAGGCGCTTTTTTACTTCCCTTGGGAGGGATATTCATTCATTTAATGATCCTTTGTTCAAGTAAAAGCTGACGTTTCTAAGGAAATTCTTCAATTGTAAGAGTGGTTGTCTTGTTCATAATGGCATGCCCAAGTTAAAGAGGCTTGGGGTATTCTTTGCGGATTGTCAACCTTATCGTGGTCAGACTAATGTGATCTTGTCATGGAATACTTTTTTTTATTTTTATCTATTTTTTTTTTTCTATTCTTTTGAAGAAGATCATTTATATATAGTCTTATTACAATAACTCTGGCATAAAAAAAAATAAAACTAACAAATCTAATATTTTAAAAACCTTGATGTCATTAACTTAATTTTTTTAAACAAATAAAATATCTATAATTCTTATTCTTAGGAATATAAAAAATATATAATTAAGAAAAAATATCACCATACCCCTCAGTTTTAAATTATATATTTCAATAGATCCAAATTTTCAAAGCATATCTTGAATAATGAAAATTTTAAATTTTGTATCTTCCAAACTCCTAAACTAATTTTATTCTCTTAAAACCCTTTTTGTGCCCCAAAAAATATAAAAAAAAACATCCTTTTTTTTAGGCACTATCTTTTCTCTGCTGACGTGATTTTCCCCCAAATGACTTGTCCCAAACAATGACTTTTCCCAAACCCTCTCTCTCCACTCCTCCAACCTCTCTCTCTCTCCTCTCACCCCAAACCCTTCTGTCTTGATTTTGCTCTCTTTCCTATCCCCGCCTTTACACCTCTCCTCTCGCCCCCCAAACCCTCTTTCTGTCGCCTGTCCCGAACCCTCTCTCTCTCCTCTCGCCCCCCAAACCCTCTCTCTCCTCTCGCACCCAAACCCTCTGTCCTTCTAGAGGGTTAGCTCTGATACTAGTATCAACCACATAAGAGTACCCTCTCCTTTTAGAGCATTAGCTCTGATATGGGTATCAACCTTCAGGGTTGAAAAGCGAACCCAAATCTTCACTTTTATGGATGAAGATTCTCTTTACAAATTGAAGAGTGAACCCATTGAAGATGGGTTGATGTGGGTGGAGTCAATTTACTGTGTCATGATTTGAGTGGCGAGAACTCTGGTTTGGATCATGTTGGCAAAGTTGCGACAAGGGTTGCAAAGGGAATGTAGCAGTGGCGTAAGCACTTATGATAGATTTAGTGATGTTTGTGAAGAAAATTTTGAGATGATTCCATTGATAAGATTTCATGTGTCTCAGCTTGAAGGAGAAGTTATAGGTAGTACAGTTGGATATAAAGGGTGAAATCGTTCCCCCAAGATTGAAGTTCACAAGGGTTAGCTTGTATCATTGTTGCAGGTGACCCCTTCAAGGGAAGAGGTGGTGACGCCATTACAGGGAAAGGCTAAAGCCTTCTGGGTCCAATGAGCGAGCCTTCCTTTTGGGTCTTGAAAGTTTTGTTTCAGGCTAGACAGGCAAGCTTGGTCGTCTGGGTCTGAAATGGCGAGACCCAACAAGAAGAGGACAAAGAAGAAGGTGAAGGTCTCCATTAATGGCGGTTTTCCGGTGAATTGTTGGGGTGCCCGACAATTTTCTAGGGTTTCCCAGTGCGTTTGGGGTTTTCTCCGGCGAGATTGAGGAGAGGTGGTGAGTGAAAGAATGGAGCATATGGGTACGATAGCTTTCATGTGTCTCAGCTTGAAGGTGCCAAACAATTTCTCAGCTAAAGACCAGGAGAGAGAATGTGGGGAAAAATACAACAAAAGAGAGGGAAAGGGTTTGGGAGCATCTCAGGGAAGAGAGAGATTTGGGGGAATACTCGAGAGAAAGGTTTTTAAAACGAACATGTCTTTTTTTATGTTGGTTAGGGGCTAAAAAATAAGTTCAAAGTAGATAAAATTAGTCGGATTAGAAAATATATTTTGAATTATTAGGCCTATAAAGATATGAAAACAAAAAATAAAAAGTACAAAGAAAGTTCTCCCATAATTAAATATGGCAAAAAATCAATGAGATGGCTTACTACATCCTACATCGAGTTTTTTTCTTTTGAATCGGTCTTAGTATAGCCAATATCGAGTTTCTTTTTTTCAAATCGAGCTTAGTACATCTCACACCGAGTCTCTTTCTTTTGATAGTGTTTGGGATTTATACACCTCACACCGACACCGAGTCTCCCCTTTCCGGTGCTCGGGATGCCGAATCTTCTCTTTTTGATGCTTGGGATTGGTCTTTTGATTTTTCTATATGTAGCAAAACACTATCAATGTTATATAAATCTTGATCTAAAACTAACTACTTAAGGCCTCAAAGAGAGATAGATAGGGAATCCTCCCTTTTACTACCCAAAAATCAAACCACCACAAATCAAAGCTAACTTTAGCTTGGGCTTGCTACTTAGAAATGAGAGAGATATATGACTTAGGCGTGCCCTGTTTGCCTTTAGAGAGATTTTAGTTAGGGTCTGTCTCTTAGAAAAACTTGAGAGAGATCTTGAAGCCTTAGATAGGGCGTAGCAGAGAGTGATCTTTAAAAGATAGAAAATAAGTGTAGAGATTTTATGAGGTGGGAGAGCTTCGTTTTATAGATTTTGTATGCTTTAAGGTTTGTCTCAATTCGTAGGATCAAATCTTGATCGTCGATCTAAAGAGACTTCTGGGGCTATAGATTTTATATGCCTTAGGGTTTGCCCCAATTCGTAGGGTGAAATCTTAACCATTGATCTAAAGAGACTTGTGGGGTGAGAGATTTGAGTCATCCACCTCTTTGATCCACCATTAAGATTCAAAGAAATGAGCTAGAGACTTATCATCCATTTTCTAGATCTAATTCTACTATCAAAAAATTTTTAAAATTAAATATATATAAGTCGTTGGGAAGGCTAAGGCAACTCGAAGGGATAGGCAG